CCGAATAAATCTATAAAGCCTTACCTCGATTACTGGGCGTAGACATACCGATAGGTACACGAGTAAAGACGGGGTTTTTAGAAGGCCCAGTAGGAATCCGCTAAGAGACTCGATAGACAGGTCTGTGGGTAAATTGGGTAGCTGCATTGAAGCTAGCTCTCCAAAGGGCAGAAAGAAGCGTATCCCGGGCATAGAGTGAGCAGGAACGATGTGAAGGGATTGTAAGAGGGAATACATGTACGTCTGTATCGCCAGGACCAGCATGGTTCCTCTTCCCCTATACATGATGTTAGAAGATGGTGAAAAGGTTGGTCTGGGATTCTTACGCTGAATATACGACATTCAACAATGCCCGTATAAGTCTCGAGCCCACGTCATCTTCCGGGAACAAATTCTGCAAGAAAGCAATTAAACGTTCCAAGGGGTGATGTCGACAAAAGGATATGCATGTAGATACAGCCCATGCTGGGATCCCGGCAAAATAGAAGCCCCATATTCCGTAGGCAGAGCGCTCAAGACGGACTATGCTCAACAGGGGCAGCCGCGTATAGCTCTTGAAGGTCTGAGGTATATGGTTAGCCCATTGTCCCATTGCTATAGATTCCATGACTGCATATAGGGCTCTCACCTGTACCCGACCCAGAAGAGAAGAGGTCCACCAAGAACCAAGGAAGATTGAGACTTGGTCCAGAGTGGCCATAACCAAGCCATAGTCGTTTTCCGCAGCTATGATATCGAGCTTCTGCTGTTCGCTTGGGCCACTAACATTACCATCTTCGCTGACAACAATCCCCATTGTGGAAAGGATGTCATTCTTGGCCCTACGGAGTTCCCTGCCAAAGGACTTAGATTGGGGGTTGATTGGATGGCCTCTTTCATCATAATGCTGGACGTATCCGTCCGCATGTAAGCCTGATACTGTCCGCTGTGTGACATTTCCTGGGTTCACCGCAGAACTCGCAGGGCGCTCAGGAGCTTCGTAAGGAGACCGGCCCTAGATAACTGTTAATTATTCAGTCATTACAATAGATGGCAACGCGTAAAATGAAGGCGAGAGGGTAGAGGCATGACAGCCCGTTTTAAGATTAGGACACAGGTGGGTATGAAGACGAGACCTGCAGATATGCCTAGAAGGGGGATCTCATTCACGTTGATTGCATATTACTTCAGGAACAGACTTTCGCGTAGACAACAAACTACATCAGATGTGTCCCCACTCGCAGCTGAGCATATACAAGAAAAGAGACATGAGCCTACCAGAGCCAGCCGATTGAGATATGCTCGCCGCCCCATCGCGTGAGCATGTCAACAACGTTCATCGAAAAGTAACCGCAGTGGGCATTTCTGCCTTGATGAAGATATCCGAGACCAGCAAAAGCAACTCGATGGGTTACGAGATCGATGGTGGTCCTGCCCCAAATGGTAAGTGTCAGTCATGTAAGCGGCTCCGGCGTCTGAAGCGGCTAGATCACGAGCTAGCGGGGTTCCACCAGCTCGTCAAACAAAGCAAACATCTCGAAAAAAGACCCAAAAGTTTCGGTGCGACGGCGACTCGGACGGCGGTACGCAACTGCCATTTTCTTTGAAGGCGCGGATTTGTTCTGTCATATGATGGCGCGGTAGATTTCTAGACTTCTGGTTGTTGAGAAAATTCCCCCATCATGTCCAAAGCCGTGGTTAAGACGACCTTCGAGGCGTCTCGAACTCTTCGTCCCATCTACACCGGAGGAAGCACTGCGCTGGATGCTAGTGGTCGTCTATTGGCGACTTGCATTGGCGAGGATGCTCTCGTCGTCGACCTTGAGACCGGCGACCAAGTTGCCAGCCTTGAAGGCGTAAGCTTCTCTCATGCATTCAGAAGTCGCAAATAGCTAACCCGGATGTTCTAGGATGGCGAAATAATCACTAGCTTGGCCAGTATGCAACTCTCCCTCTCTCTTACTTCCCTTTCCTACGCTAGCTAAGAGGTATGTACTGACTGCGCTTAGTTTCTCCATCGGCTTCGCACGTCGTTCTCTGCTCGCGCTCGATGTCCATGCGCATCTACTCTCTGACTCCTTTTGATGAAAACACACAAACCGTCGAGGCCAAACTAGCTAGAACCTTGAAACCTCACACAGCTCCCGTCGTCACCACAGCGATCGATCCCACGGGTACTCTCCTAGCAACTGGCGCTGCGGATGGTTCTATCAAGGTTTGGGATATTCGGGGTGGATACATCACGCATACTTTCCACGGTCATGGTGGTGTTATCTCGGCGCTGTGTTTCTTTCAAGTACCTTACCAGGACAACGACAAGGCATCATCAAAGAAGAAGAAGAAGGGGTCCAAGGGCAAGAACCTTGACTCTGATGAGGATGAGGACATGGATGAAGTAGCCGATTCGATCGGCGCTTTCCGACTCGCTTCAGGTGACGAGGAAGGTATGGTCCGCGTCTGGGATTTGAATAAGAGGAAGCCCATCGCATCGTTGGAATCGCACGTCTCTGTTGTCCGGAGTCTTTCGTACTCACCCGCAGAGAATGCGCTGCTCTCTGCAGGCCGCGACAAGACTGTCATTGTGTGGGATGTGCGGACTTTCAAGACGCGCCGTGTTATCCCCGTTCTTGAGAGCGTGGAAGCAGCTTGCTTCGTCGCTGACAGCGGATTGTGCTTGGTGGGAGGAGAGAACGGCCGTTTGCGTGTTTGGGACTGCAACCGCGGAGGAGAGGTTACTCACGAGCAAGAAGCTGCAGCCGAGTTCGAGGCCGTAGTGGCGATTCAGTATTCCGCGGGCATGTCATTCGCAATGACTGTGCATGCTGACCAAACCATTCGACTGCACTCGCTTCAGCCACTCGCCGACTACAAAGCTGGGTCTACGTTTGAGCCGCTGCCGGTTATTAGGCGCATCTCCGGCAACGATGATGATATTATTGATCTTGCATATGTCGGTCCCGATCGGTCGATGCTTGCGTTAGCTACCAACACCGAAAGCATAAGGGTGGTTTCAGTTGGACCGTCCGAGGATAGGCCAGCTACCGGAGAGGGTGACTACTTTGGTGCCGATGTCACACACTTGGAAGGTCACGACGACATCATTATTTGTATCGACGTTGACTGGTCAGGTCACTGGCTTGTTACCGGCGCAAAGGATAATACTGCACGTCTTTGGCGGCTTGACCCCAAGAATTCCTCTTACACCTGCTTTGCTGTCCTCACTGGACATGCAGAGTCGCTCGGTGCCATCAGTTTCCCCCGAGCTCCTCCGCCAGTCAACACCCCTGCTCACAACGACCCCTTGAACCATCCCCCTGCTTTCCTGCTCACAGGATCTCAAGATCGTACTATCAAACGATGGGACACGGGTAAATTGGCTCCTCTTAAGTCTTCCAAACCTCACAACCCCAAGGCCGTGTACACACGCAAAGCCCATGAAAAGGATATCAATGCTCTGGATATTAACCCGACATCGACATTGTTCGCATCCGCGTCCCAGGACCGTACTGTGAAGATTTGGTCCATCGAGGATGGCTCCGTTGTGGGTGTCCTGCGGGGACATAAGAGGGGAGTATGGTCAGCACGATTCGCTCCTCGTGGTACCCCTATCCTCACCTCCGACACGGGAACGAGCACAAACCGAGGCATGATTGCTACTGGATCGGGAGACAAGACTATCAAGATCTGGAGCTTGTCGGACTACAGCTGTCTTCTCACTTTCGAAGGTCACACGAACAGTGTGCTCAAGGTGATCTGGCTGCCACCTTCGGACTTGTCTACCAAGGAGGAGGATGAAGACGAAGCAATGACACATAATGCAGTTGCGCAGGCGAAACCTCTGGTTGCGTCTGCGGCCGCAGATGGCTTGGTGAAGATTTGGTCCCCTTACAGCGGCGAGGTCGAGACGACTCTTGACAACCATGAAGACCGTGTCTGGGCTCTGGCCAGCCCGACGCCATCTGGCTGCCGTGACGACGTTCTGTCCTCATCTACCCTCTCACAAACCTCTCCCTACGGCCTTGCCTCTGGTTCTGCCGACTCAACTGTTACCTTCTGGACAGACACGACTTCGGCCACTTACACCGCTACAGTAAACGCCAACTCAGCTCGTATTGAGCAAGATCAACAGCTTCAGAACTACATTCGCGCCGGGGCTTATCGCGAAGCCATCACACTTGCACTTCAGCTCAACCACCCAGCCCGGCTACTGTCTTTGTTCACTTCTGCGATAGATGCTGCAGAGGACCCAACAGCGACCGATTCCGAAGCCAGCGAGCGTGCCAACAGCCTAACTGGCAACCCCTCGATCGACGAGGTTCTTCAAACTCTTGACCCGGAAAACCTCTGTACACTCCTTCTCAGACTTCGTGACTGGAACACGAACGCCCGAACATCCAGAGTCGCTCAGCGGATCCTGTTCGCTTTGTTCCGCTCCTACCCAGCTTCAACATTTGTCGAGCTTGCCACCTCAAGCATGGCGAAGCGTCGCCGCGAAGGTCGCACTTCAGCAGGCATGAAGGATATCCTGCAAGCGCTGGCCTCGTATACTGACCGGCATTACCGCCGTGTCGAAGAACTTTCCGACGAAAGCTACCTCGTGGAATGGGTTCTTGCAGAGATGGACGGTGGTGTGGGACTCGGGGGCCTAGGCGTTTCTACCCCGTACGACCCTTACAGCAGTCTCCCTGAAGACAGTGTCCCAGAGCATGAAAAAGACGTGGTCATGCTGGGGGTATAGGAGAACCCAAGTGTGGATAAAAATAAGACTTTTGAATGAGACTATGTACAAATAGACCCAAGTTAATCTGCATGATCTTTGCAAATACCGTGTGTATGTTGGCGCTTTCAGTGGGAGTACTTGTTCTGTTTTTGTTAGGAGACCAGCATATAAAAAGTTCTTCCTTTTTCCAGATGATACTACCTGTTCTGAATTAGAGGCTGTTGAGGCAGTATTTTACATGGCTATGAGATCTGTTGTCGGTATTGAAACGTCAGCGTTAATAGTGTCACTATCGATAGTCCTTCCACACGCCCTTAGTCATACAAAAATGGTATCAAGATCATAAGTAGTATATGCGGATTTGAATATGTCTATGAAACTGAAAGGTCTTCCTCAAATCATCGATCATCGTCTCTCCTTCTCCGGCGAGAGTCGCGATCACTGTCTCGCTCCCTATCACGGTCACGATGTCTGCTCAATGTATGCGAGGAAGAGTGCCTCGAGCTACTATGGCGATCATCATCTCGATACCGTCTGCTGCGGTCTCGATCCCGATCTCTGTCCCTGTCACGCTCTCGTTCCCGGTCCCCATTTCGATCGCGATCCCTGCGATAGTCACGATCCCGGTCCCGGTCCCGGTCCCGGTAGTAGCGGTCATCTCGACTGTCACTGTCTTCATCTTCGTATTTGCGCCGTCTTGAATGCCGGTCACTGGATGACAAACTCCGGTCTCTCCTTGAAGATCCCGTCCTGCGTCTGTCATAGCGATCACTGTCATCGTCATCGTAGTCGCGACGCCGGGAGTCACGATCGCGATCCCTATCACGGCCACTCTTCTCCAAATTGCGATCGCGTCGTTGCTTCCATTCATCCTCATCGCCCCGTTTCTTGACATCCTTCCGTTGCGCAGCAAGTTCCTCCTCCGTTATGAACTCGCCCGTTTGCTTGTTCCGCATCATAATGGGCATATATACACCCTCCGGGTTGGACTCGCCCTCCTTCCCTACCTTCCTAGAGCCTTTCCGCATGGCAGCCTTGCCCCATGCGCCGAGCTCGGCCTCTGCACCCTTCCCACCAGACACATCTTTTGCTCCGATCCCCAGGAACCCGGGACGGCGCTCCGGGACCCGCGGCTTATTGTCCTGATTTGCAGAACCACCGTATTTTCCTCTTCCTACAGCTTGACCCTCCTTCCACCCCATACCACGAAGTAGCGCAGCGCCAAACTCCTCAACCGGGATTGCGTTATACTGATCCAAGCTCGCAGATTCCGGGCGCGCCGCAACATCCGCTCGAAACGAAGAGGTCTCATCATACCGTCCTCCGGCCCGATCATCGTCATCCCGATTAACCGACTCAATAACAAGATCCGACCTGCGCTCCGGCTCACCCTTCGTCTCCCGGATAAGCGCCTGCAGAGCAATCTCATCCTGAGTAAGTGGCTTGCGTTTTTCCTCAGCAGCAGGCCCAGTAACATCCTTCATCGAACGATCATTATCCGTCGGCTGGGCTGAATCCTGCGAAGCCGGCTGCGCAAAAGTCAATCCATAAGCCACACTCGGACGCTCTGTCTCAACATTATCTCCAGCAACTTCGCCCCTTTTCTGCGCTTCCTGAATGGCCTGAACCTCCTTTGGCAAAAGGTTCTTGCCCTTAGGTTTCCGGAGATTGACGCTTGGGCGGTCCCTCCAATTATTGTTTCCGGCGACGGGTATAACCAGCTCGCGCTTTTCTTCCACCTTGTTTGCGGGGATGGCGGTTCCCGTTAAGGTGTCGAACCCGGTGACGGCTTCGTGGGTGGGCGCAGCTTCTTCATCGGATTCTTCGTCATCGTGCAGGTGGTGAGGTCGGCGCGCGAGTGTTCGGCTAGGTGGGTCGGTGGAACGCGCCGCGCCTTGAATGTTGAAGGACGTCTTTTTCGGCGGGCCATTTGCTGGTGCTCTTGTGGAATTTCCGCCTAGTGATAAAGAGAACGGCTTCGCTGAGGAACCGGAGTCCGCATTGCCGCTCTGCGGCGGTTTGGAGGACGACATTGTGACGGCGTGTCTTCGTGAGCTGCTAGTCTGGAAAGAACTAATTGAAAGAGTGAAAATCTGCCTTCAATCCATAGGGGCGATATGAGCACCCGCGGCGTATGGCGAGTCTGTACTGGGTATGTAGAACTGAAGCTGGTGGAGGACTAGACAATCGGCGGGCTAAAAAGAAGGCGGTGGCAAAAGACGCGGGCTAGACGCGCGCTTAGACCCATCCCCAAGGCAATTACGAAGTAGTGCAGGTGAGTCAATTATTATCAATAGTAATCGTACAGTCGTAGTCATTAATTCTCTTTTGCTCTAATGCAATCCATTCCAAATGACGTTCCAATAATTTCCTGACCTTTTTGTATCCGTCCTATCAATACATGTAGTACAAAGTTGAAAATGGAGGGGGACATGGCCCCGGTTGATAAAATGGAAGCCATTTGTGCATAACAGGCAACCGGCTAAAAGCCGGTGAAAATCTGCCGGTATAACAAGAGAAATCTGGAGAAAGATAAGACAGGAAGGTCTGTCTCGCAAAGCAGGTAGAAGTGTTGGGGGGAGGCAATAAGGGTGGCGTTGATAAAGAGGATTGGAGGGTGTCAAGGTGAGTGCTCGAAGCAGGGATAGTGAATAAAAGGTGATAAGGTGGGTGGGAAATATTTACAACGAAGAAGAGAAGATAAAGGCAAGGTCATTTAGCTTGTCGCCGTCTGAGCCTGCGGAGGGTTAGGACTCTTGCTTGTGCCGGCCACTGCGCCAGCCTGGGCACTGCCACTGCGCTGGGTTTGCGGCGTCACACTCCGGCTCGGCTGAGGAACCGCCCCGTTCATAGCAGGAGAGCTCCCTACACCGACACGATTTTGCTGGGCAGGTTGGGGAACACGCATCATGGGGGAATATCCTTGGGCCTGAGGTACTTGCATACCAGGCGCACCATTCAAACCCGGCTGTGGGGACTGGAAACTGGCCTCGTGGGGAATTTGGTAATTGGCTTGCACGCTGCCAATATTTCCAGCAGCAGCACTCATGGCAACTTGGGACATGCGCTGCTGTTGATACTGATGCAACCGATCCGTAGCAAGCTTGTTAACCTGCTCCGGAGGCATGTTCGGGTTGCTCCGCTGTATTTGGCTTTGGATGGTGCTGATAGTTGGGACCACACCACCGGAGAGGAGATTGGGTTGAGCCATGCGGGGAGAGGGCGTAGACACTCCTTGTGGGGTGGTATTGTGAAAGGATGGGCTTTGCATTCCACCTCCGGCCTGCAGCGCCGCCATCATCGCAGGGTTGTTTGGAGTGCCGTTGACGTTCGGCATATTCAGATTCGGAGAATGGGATCCTTGTGGCACAAACTGCTGTTGATTATGGAATTGCTGCTGTGGCTGTTGGGGCTGAGCCTGCTGTTGATGAGGAAGTTGTTGTGGCTGGGCCTGCTGTCTGGTCTGGAGGATCCGTTGTTGCTCTTGAAGCCGATTCGCCTCCCGCATAACACGCGTATTATCAGGAGGTGTCTGCATGGGCATCCCAGGGCGGGCACCATTGTTCTGTTGGATTCCCGACTGTGGCATCATCTTCATCGCCATTGGATTCGATGGCATGGGTCCATTCACAGGTGTAGCGTTGGGCATACCCTGCATATGGGGACGTCCTTGGTTAGCACCAACTCCGGGGGGCAACCCGTTGGGCAGCCCGTTAGGCAACGCATTCGGAAGGCCATTTGCAGTGTTGCCGGTCATAGCAGAAGTTCCAGGGTTATGAGGCAGGCCGCCAGGAGTGCGTCCTGGGGCATTCATCATCGGCTGCTGGTTAGGTATTTGCCCGGCACGTTGGGCTGCTAGGTTCGCCTTAAGCATAGATGTTAGTCAAGAATAGAGTGCACGAAAAGAGAAACACGGTCATACTCTTTGCTGGGCAATCATTTGCTGCCGGTATTGTTCTTGCCGCTCCTGAAGCTTCAATTCACGCTCGTACTTGAGTCGGCTGAATTCAGCGGGCGACGTAATTGGAGGTTTCGGTTGATTTGCTTCGTTTACTTTCCGTAACGATGCCAAGTGCGAGGCTATAGGAAATCAAAGCAGTTAGCAATAGCCAAAGCAAATATGCAATGTCACATCTTACCATGTTGCTGCTTCTGGAGCATGGTCTCTCGCTTCTTAGCCAGTTTACGCATGGCATCAAGCAATGCAAGGTGCTTAGAGGATCTCTTGCGATCAACCCTGACAGGTTGCGTCGTCCGCCTTCGAACTTGGGGTACTGACTGCGGATTGCTGTTGTTGCCCTGTTGTTGCTGTTGTTGTTGTTGTTGTTGTTGTTGTTGTTGCTGCTGCTGTTGTTGTTGCTGGGCGGCTTGCTGTTGCGCTAGTACAGTTCGCTGTGCTGCCTCAAGCCTTTGGTGATAAGCACGGAAGTACTGTGTCTTAGACATGTCGGCTGGCAAGCCTTCCAAACCAACCCAACGCTCAAAGCATTCCCAGGGGGTCCGCCTTTCTGCTCCCGATGTAAACTGTGATGACGGTGTGAGACAGTTGGAGATGAGAGACCAATTGTATGAGTACTCCTTGACTAAGCGCCGTAGCTCATCATCCTCTGCATATGTCCACTGAGACGACTGTCTAGATTCAAAGAAGCCAACGGAGGGCATAGGATGCTCAGTCGGAGGGCGAAATGAATGACCTGGGTGGATTCTATCACGTATATGTCTGTTTTCAGGTCGGAACAATGCGACATTGGTTTGTTCTGGCGGCAAATCCAGCACGGCTTGCTCGGGATCTGATTGGTACTGTGAGTAGTCGTAGCGGCTACGCTTGGGAGGTGGTTCGTCGTCATGGAAAGTGATTTTGCCCGACGCATATTTCGAAACGGGCAGGATCTCGGTTTTCCATACAGAGTCCGGTGGTTCTTTGAATGCGGGCAAGTTCGTGTCTGGAGAAATAGTGACAGGTGTGTATGTTGGCAGATTATCAAGGATCTCTCGAGCTGCCGCCGTCATGTCCAATGAGAACGTGAACTCGTCGGTACCAAGGGAGAAGATCGCAGCTGGTGCAACCGTGTCATGAAGATCGTGGCGCGGCTCATCATTGAATCCTTCACTAACAGAATCCTCTTCAGTGGAGGGCACTAGATCTGGTGTAGGGTGAGACATTGCCGCCATTTCATCACCTGTTTCTTCAGGTGGCGAAATCATGCTGGATTTAGCTTCAATCTTCAATGATGGGGTCTTTACTTGAATGCGGAGCAGTGACTGATGCTCGGGGTCACTATTAACATACTCCGCACACCAGTCAGCACAGCTTTTTGCAGCTGCAATCTTCCACTTCCGCTCTTCACGGAAATCAGTGCGCATCCACTTTACATGATCCAGAAGAACATCCCAATGTGTTGCCTCTCGAGGTGGTTCAACTGAACGTTTCAACTGACGCAAGGGCCATCGATTCGCATTTTGGAGGGAATAGATCCGGCGCAAGGTACGACAATCCATTTGTTCCTGGTAATCAAGGAAGTGGTTGGAAGTGGTTAAGGTCTTGTGGGCTGATGCGAGAAGTGTGCTGAGACTTGTACCCCGGGGAGGTGCGTATGCTCGATTCTGGAAGAGGGTGAAAAGATAGTCTTGTTCTTCATTAATCTTGGCAAGATCACCAGCGTGTTGCCGGACCAACTCCATAGACTCGCTTTTCTCTTGGATCTGTTGTTGTTGCTGCTGCTTTGGGAATACGACGGTAGACAATTTAGTTCTCTCTTTCTCACGCGCTTTCCGATCTTTGAACCGCATCCTGGCTGCAGAGTCAGGGGTCGCAGTGGACACATCCCGTGCTGATTCCGTAGGCTTCTCGGGCAGAGTTCCCTTGTCCGAAGGCGAGACGGGCGTCTTTGGAGGTTCTCCCAGAATCTCAGAAACAGATTTGTGTCTGATAGCGCCAGAGGACACCCTGGTTGTCATTCTTTCCGGTGGAGACGGTACCGGATGGGCTGGCGGCGTCGGTTTCTTTATCACTGGAGCTGTTTCCGTAGGCACCTTGCTGCTGGCCTCAGCTTGAGGTGCAGGCCCGGCTTGTGTGGAAGGCCGTAACTCATCGGTTGCCTCAATAACTCCGTCAGGCCTCTTATGATCGAGTGACGGAAGAGCCGGTGCCAGCTCGGGCGTTTCTTTCGGCGTTTCTTTGACGTCAGCCGGCGACGTCACAACATTTTCCTGGATGACCTCGCTCGTGACAGTACCTCCGTCAACCTCGTCCGCACTTGTCTTGACCGCAGCCAGGTTGCTCTGTTGAAGTGATTGAGCCTCTTCCAGGCGAAGTTGCTCATCAGGCGTGGAAGGCACCAAGCTAGGCGGTGCCTTGACTGCCTCTTCATCTTTGGGACTTGGAATCTTGTGGGGCGCATCATTCATCTCCTCCGCAGGGCTGGTAGCAGGTGAAACGGGGACTGGCACCGGGGTATTATTGGAATAAGGCCCAGCTGAAGAAACAGGGGAAAGTGGCTGCTCAGGAACCTGGGCGGGCCGGCCCTGAGCGAGGGAAGGCCGTACACCATCCTTCCTTTGAGCGTACGAAAGGTCTGGAGTTACAGATGGCCGGGCATCCACATTGGGCTTTGGCTGTGCCTGGGCTGGGGATGCACTACCTTCACCGATACCATTGCTAGAGACATTTGGACGTGCTTCCGTTGTCAATGTATACACCTTGTTGGTAGTAGCTGATGGCTGCGCGGGATGCGCTATTGCAGGAGCCGAAACATCAGGCACTTGGGACACCTGAGATGCGATAGCAGGCGCGACTTGATTAGTTGCCACTCGGTGCTCAGGCTCGTGATCAGAAGGTCTCTGTTCTGTTACTTTCTGATACTTCGGCTGGCGCTCAACATCATTGGCAATGGCCTGCGCAGCAGCACTCTGGGCTCCCAATTGCGGGACGGAGGCCGTAGCATCGTGAGATTTGGCAGTCAATTCCGCTGGCACCGGTCGTGTCGCCGCAGCTGTCTCCTCTGCTTCCCTGGCTTTGCGCGCTAAAATGGACGCATAGTCTGGTAATGGTGGGAGTGTAGCTGGGTTGAAATAACGACCTCTGAAAACAGTTAACGTATGCTTCTCAGTAAAGGTGGAGATACATGAAAGTAGTTGGAAATCCCACAAATTGGGGCGGGTAGATAAATTGGAAATAGTTTGGACATATGAAACAATAGCTATATGAGTGACTTTGATATAGGCGACTTACTTTGAGAGGTCGTTGGCGTCGAGGAACGCCTGCTCCTTGTGGTGATAGAGCGAGTCCGCCGGAGCGTTCTCGGTCGCGCCCGCGAAGCCTACGGTCGCAAAGTAGAGCTCGCTCAGTTTGCGCTTCCGCGACGACAAACAACGTCTAAAATTCCAAGTAAGCGATAATTCAATATCGCAAAGACCAGGGGAGTAGATTGGATCGCTGGGGAAAATAAAATACGTACGCGATCTCATCTTTCTTAGACCGGAGAAGCTCGTCACGGAGCATGGAGTCTATTTCGGGGAACACAGCATCCGATTAACGCGCTAAAATTAAGGGGAGTGGATTGAGCGAAGTCATCCAGATGGAAAAAATCGCTCAGAAATGATGAAAAGGATGGGGTTGTGTTGTTATGGGATGCAGAGGACACGACGCGAAGATTTCGCTGGGAAGGGATTTTTTGGGGGGTGTTAGTGGTGATGAGACTTCTGGACGGGTAGTATGGGAGGAACTTTGGTTGGTTGGTTGGAGGATTCTGGGTGAGTGCCGGGAGCAGCAGAGAGCGCCAGGTTTGGGTGTTGGTACTGCGATGGGTGGTAGTAGGCGGGTAGGAGTCCCCTAGCTATTCCTTAGATTCCTTACTAGGGGCGATATTCCACCATTCCATGCCTGTTCCTTATGTAGGTATGATGTGAACCGCTGAATGGCTGGCCACCAGAAAAATGAAGGCCTGAGGCAGCAAATGAGGTACGTAGCGCCGGCGGCTTCCTTTCGCAGTTTTCTGTTGTTGCTCCCTTGTTGTTTTCTCTCGCGCTCACCCGAGTGATTGCCGCATTCAGACCCGCTGGACACCTTAGGCACTAATGGCTCGGAAAGACGCGTCTCACCGCCCCGACTCGATGATAACGTCCGGCAGAAAAAAAAAGTTGCCCGCTCAGATAGATGGTCTTTGATAGTTAGTCTGCAGAAGCAAACACATTCCACACCGGTTCCATTCTATCAAACAGACCAGAATTATGGTGAAGAGAAAGAGAGACGAGGCGGCCAAGGACCGCCAGAGCTCTACACAGCCAGCCAAGGTTGTCAAGGCTACAGACAGTGAAAAGGCCCCTTCCACCTCAACGGCTGACGGTCCGTCAATCACGCTGCAAATTATCACCGGTTCCTACGAAAAGGTTCTGCACGGCTTCACCGCTGCTGTTTCACCTACCTCTTTTGCATCTAAGGATACGGATGAAGATGGTGATAAGTCCAATCTTGTACAATTTGTGGATACTTTCCTGTTTGAGGCTCATACATCTGCCATTCGCTGTCTCGCCTTGTCACCATTGCCGAAGGCTGATGCAACAGAAAACGCCCAAGTTATCCTAGCCACTGGTGCTACGGATGAGCGTGTTAATCTATACTCTCTGTCTGCTGCTCCTGTTGCAGTGAATGACTTATATCCCACCGTACCGACTCTCGCGGGCAACAAAATCCTTGAGAATCCCAAGAACCGCGAGCTGGGCACACTGATGCATCACTCCGCTCCGATTTCGGCTTTGGAATTTCCATCCCGATCAAAGATCCTTGTTGGTTCTGAGGATAATACAATCTCCGTTACCAGAACTCGGGATTTCTCCGTTGTATCCACCATCAAGGCCCCTCGTCCGAAAGTTCAGGGTAGGCCAAGCGGTGACACAGCACCCCCGGGAGGCACCCCGTCCGGTGTCAATGATATCGCTGTCCATCCTAGTATGAAACTGATGCTGAGTGTGGGCAAGGGAGAAAAGTGCATGAGGCTCTGGAACCTTGTTACAGGGAAAAAGGCGGGCGTGTTGAACTTCAACCGAGAGATTTTGCAAAGCGTCAAGGAGGGCAAATGGAGCACTGGAGAAGGAAGGAAGATAGTGTGGAACTCGAAGGGTGATGAGTTTGCTGTAGCATTCGAGTGGGGTGCAGTTGTCTTTGGCATTGTAAGTTTGATGTTGCATATCCCCCATTGCAAGGGCCATTCTTTAACATAGTATACAGGACTCCACTCCCATTTGCAGGGTTTTCCCCAGCCCCCGGAGTAAGCTTCACCAGATGAAGTACGTCAACCCAACGCCTTCTTCCGATGACAGCGATGAACTGCTTGCTGTCTCGACGGAAGATGGTAGGGTCATTTTCTACTCTACTAAGCAGGTTCAAGAGGCGACAGAGGAGGATGATTCGCCCATCCCCTATGCGGAAGCTGTTGCTCAGCTCGGCGGTAGAGCAGCAGGCTTCCCCGGAAGAGTGAAGGACTTCGAGGTCCTTGATCTAAATGGTCAACGAGTTGCTGGAAAGGATAACCTTCTAGTAGTAACAGGAAATAGTGAGGGCTTGGTCCGTGTTTGGCTGCTGCAAGGAGCCGATCTGGTCAAGAAGGATACAAAAGGTACCAAAAAGAAGTCCGCCGAGACGGAGAAGAAAGTCATCCAGGTTGGTAAGTTCTTGAATGCCTATGGCACAGGCAACCGAATCACCTGCCTCAAAGCATTTGTGATGCTGGCTCCTGAAGATCCTTCGACGCTAGAGGATTCGGAAGAGGACTATGATGAAGAAGTGAGCCAGGATGAATCCTCCAGCGAAGAGAGCGATGAAGAATAGGTTTACCGCCTATTTGATGATTGTCTTACTGTATATACCCAACCCTTGTTGATAGGCAAACGGATGTGTAAAATCATACCATTGCAGTCTTCCATTATCTAGAGGTGCTTTCCGTATCGCTCCCCCACAACTCTCCCTACATTACGAATGGTCACATTACCGACGTTCATACAAACTTCTGGACCCTTCACTGCTTCGTGGTAGTCGCTTTTGACGTCTGTACGAGCCCCTGTATGCCATGTTGGTCACACAGGTCGACAAATTCGTATTCTCATTGAGCCATTCCACTTTAGTTCGACAAGTATAAGCATGGCATCAATACAGACGGTGAATATCTTTCAGTAATAATTCAAGTAGGTGCGAGTCGATCGACTGAGAAAGTGAGGTTCATTTTTTGCAAAGAGGTGAGTCAGTATAAATCCTGCCGCCGCCCACCGCCCACTCGCTCTCCACTGCACAAATCACAACCCCACTGGCCGAACCGTATCATATCGCCTCCGTCCTCAAGCAGCAATTTTCATCAGACAACACGACCCTCGCCCCTCGCCCTCTCCACCCCCCATCACCCCCCTTTTCTAGAACCGCTGTTGTCTCTCGATTTCACTAGCAATTATGGCTGCCAACGGCGACTTCTCTGACGACGAGTCCCAGCCTGGATCCCCCATGCTCGATGCGAACGGTCACGATGACATCGAAGAGCAAGAGCCCCTCGACCAGGAGTCCAAGCCTCTGAAGTCTGCGATGAAGAAGGCGGTTCCTCCTCCCCAGCCCAAGCGGCCAGAGCTGCCCGAGCAGCCGAATCCGGAGACTCTGGACCTGTCCACGCTGACTCCTTTGACCCCCGAAATTATTGCGCGCCAAGCCACAATCAACATTGGCACCATCGGTCACGTCGCTCACGGCAAGTCGACGGTCGTTAAGGCTATCTCCGAGGTCCAGACTGTCCGTTTCAAGAACGAGCTGGAGCGAAACATTACGATCAAGCTGGGTTATGCCAATGCGAAGATCTACAAGTGCGACAACCCCGAGTGCCCTAGGCCGACATGCTTCAAGAGCTTCAAGAGTGAGAAGGAAGTCGACCCGCCTTGTGAGAGGGATGGCTGCAGTGGCCGCTATAGACTGTTGAGACATGTGTCGTACGTTGAACCTCAGAATCCTGTGTAGTCAAGTTATTCTATGCTAACTCAGAGATCGAAATTAGTTTCGTCGACTGCCCCGGTCACGATATTCTGATGAGTACTATGTTGTCTGGTGCCGCCGTCATGGACGCTGCCCTTCTCCTTATTGCCGGAAACGAAACTTGCCCTCAACCTCAGACTTCGGAGCACTTGGCCGCCATCGAAATTATGAAGCTCAGCCACATTATCATTCTGCAGAACAAGGTGGACTTGATGAGAGAGGATGGTGCCCTGCAACATTACCAGTCGATTCTGAAGTTCATCCGTGGTACCGTCGCCGATGGCTCTCCGATCATTCCCATCTCTGCACAGCTTAAGTACAACATTGATGCTGTCAACGAATACCTGGTTTCGCACATTCCGGTCCCCGTCCGCGATTTCACCGCTTCCCCCCACATGATTGTCATTCGTTCCTTCGATGTGAACAAGCCCGGTGCCGAGATCGAGGAGCTGAAGGGTGGTGTTGCCGGTGGTTCCATCTTGACTGGTGTTTTGAAGCAGAACGACGAGATTGAGATTCGCCCCGGTCTGGTCACCAAGGACGAGAATGGCAAGATTCAGTGCCGTCCCATCTTCTCTCGGGTCATGTCCCTCTTTGCCGAGCACAACGACCTTAAGTTTGCCGTCCCTGGTGGTCTGATTGGTGTCGGTACTCGCGTGGATCCTACTCTGTGCCGTGCTGATCGTCTCGTTGGTTTCGTCCTTGGTCACCGTGGACGCCTTCCCGCTATCTACACCGAGCTGGAAGTTAACTACTTCTTGCTTCGTCGTCTGCTCGGTGTCAAGACCGCCGATGGCAAGCAGGCCAAGGTTGCCAAGCTTACTAAGAACGAAGTTCTCATGGTTAACATTGGTTCTACGGCTACCGGTGCTAAGGTCGTGGGTGTCAAGGCTGATGCCGCCAAGCTCAGCTTGACCAGCCCTGCTTGTACCGAGGTCGGAGAGAAGATTGCCATCAGTCGGAGAATTGAGAAGCACTGGCGTCTGATCGGTTGGGCCAACATTGTCGCGTAAGTCTAAAGCTCCGCCCCTTATACTCCCCAATATTTCTTCCCTGCTCTGAGAGAATGGCGTGATATTAACTTTGGTCATAGTGGTAACACCCTTGAGCCCATCCTGAACTAAAGAAGTTATTGCCCGCTTGGATGGCCAGGCTTGTATCCACCAGATTACGGCTGGTGGGGACGTCAAAGAGTCTCTGACACCAAGTCTTGGCAGGGTCAAGTCACGAATGAAGTAGAATGGTTTGCAGTAGCGAAAGGGGGTGTCAGTTAACTCCCTGATTAGAGACCACAGGGAGCCTAATCGTCGCCTATTCCACCTGCTGATGATTGCGAAGAACAGGAGATCGTGAGTATCCTCCACGATAACCAGTTGAAATGTTCGCAGGATCGAGGAGGCCGGGCAAGCAGCAGGATGGGAAGGCATTTTAGAAGATCAGGTGGCATGGCTGGAGTTGCGCAGACCACTTCTTTGACGTGTGTTACGACGCTTGTGGAAAATATTTCTTACAATTTTTTTCTTTTTTTGTTCATTCTTATTATTCGGTCCGGCTTGCATGGCTCTATGTAGATGCTGTATAGGGGAATGATGAACGCAACGAAATAAAAGTCAGAATTTCTTTGATGTCCAATACGCCGCTATTGAAAACAAGCATAAATGGGGAGCTGAATGAAGGAGTTGTTTGTTCTGCTGCGGCCTTGCCTCCGAGGCTACCGCGGCGGTTGACTAAGGCGCGGACCAGCTCCTCTTTTAACTATTCTCTTACTCCCCCATTCATTGCTTTGTCCGCAACCAAAAGGCCACATCACAGCAGGCTCAATTTCAGGCTGCTGTAGTGCTGTGGGTGTCGCAATGTATATCCTCGAGGTAAAGTTCCCGTACAGACCTCTTCATCACCATACTAGAAGTTCATCTGGTCTTCCCTTCTAAGCTTGAAGCTCCAGCTAACTCGGGTCATCGTGGCCGTTACAGCAACTGGCGCGTTTCCTCGACCGCCCATTCATCCCCTGGAAGAATGTCCTCGTCGGATTCTCTCTAGGCCAATTTCTTTTGGAGGGTTTTCTGTCTCTCCGTCAATACAAAGTACTGCAACGGACCAAGCCCCCGCAAGTATTGGCGGGCGAGGTTTCCCAGAAGGTTTTCGATCAGAGCCAGGTAAGCATCTCTACATGAGCTCAGCGACCACATCATACTGATCAGATGATTCCGGGCTCATTAGTCCTACGGTCGCGCCAAAGCCAAATTCGGTCTTGTTGCAGGTCTTTACGGTCAAATTCAAAATCTTGCTTTCATCTATGGCGACATTCTCCCCAAGCTTTGGGGAGTCAGCGGTCTCCTGTTGGCACAATACTTTCCTTCTCGGTTCCAAGGTGAAATCTCGCAGACGCTGCTATTTGTCTTCGGATTCAACCTGATCAGCACGGTTCTTTCTCTTCCCATCTCGTACTACAATACCTTCGTCCTCGAGGAGAAGTTTGGTTTCAACAAGCAGACTTTCAGTCTCTGGGTTACGGACTTGCTCAAGGGACAGATGCTTGGTATCGTACTTGGAACACCCATTATTAGCGCAGTTCTCAAGATCATTCAGAAGACCGGCAACTCCTTCTTCTACTACTTGTGGCTCTTTGGCGTCTTCCTCCAGATCTTCGCTATCACCATCTACCCTATTGTTATCCTGCCCTTGTTCAACAAATTGTCGCCCCTTGAGCCTGGTGCCATCAAGACCGGTGTCGAAAACCTCGCTAAGAAGCTTAAGTTCCCTCTTCAAGAGCTGCATGTCATTGACGGCAGCAAGCGGAGCGCACACAGCAACGCCTACTTCTATGGTCTCCCTTGGAAAAAGCACATCGTCATCTACGACACTTTGATCGAGAAGAGTGAGCCTGAGGAGGTTGTTGCAGTCCTGAGCCATGAACTGGGTCATTGGAGTCTTAGCCACACCACAAAGCTTTTCGGTATTGCTCAGGTATGTTCCTGGGTCACAAAGCAGACCAACCACTTCCTTATGAGTGGTCAAAATAGTATAACGACAGGCTGACCTGTACTAGTTCCATATGTTCTACATTTTTGCGCTCTTCTCCGCGTTCGTGAGCAACAAGTCTTTGTATCAGTCGTTCGGCTTCTATAGCCAACAGCCCATCATGATCGGATTCCTCTTGTTCTCGGATGCTCTCGCACCGATGGATGCTGTTGTCAAGCTTTTGATGAACATCCTCAGTCGCAAGTTTGAATTTGAAGCTGGTAAGCCTTCAAGACCCTTGACTCAGAACCGTGATTATGGCACGATACTAATCAAACCATCCAGATGCCTTTGCTGTCGGTCTCGGTTATTCTGAGCAGCTGGCGCAATCCCTTCTCAAGCTGCAGATCCAGAACTTGAGCACCATGGACGCTGACTGGATGTACGCAAGCTACCACTACTCTCACCCTATTCTTTCCGAGAGACTCAAGGCGCTCGGTTGGAAGGGTGGAAAGGTTACCGCTCTCAAGGAGGAGGATAGTGAGAAACCAGTTAAGGCGGCTGACCGCGAGCTGTGAAAAGTTGACATTCTAGTGTCTCCTTTCTTTTTTCTGGTATGGTGTTACAGGGCCGGTTGAGGGGAGAGGCCCGCCGGATATGGGCTTCTGAAGGCATATTCAATTGTTAATGGATTTTTGAGTTCTTATCACCGGTTATAATAAACCGATCGTAATCGTCTTCCAATGAATTAAGTTCGCCTTGAATGCGCCAATGCAATATGCACAAGTCTAATATATCTTGGGAATCCAAGACAAACAGCAAGAAAAACAAATCCCGTAGCAAAGCTGATGCAACCCATAGCAAAACCTGCGCGCAAAACAGTAACTTTTCTTTCGCTTTCATTTCCTACTCAAG